GTGATGCGCCGACTTAATCCTTTCCTTCAGGGCTCAGCACACTGGAACAAAAGGCGAAGTAAGACCCTTCGGCGAATCGCCAAGTGAACTCGGCGATCCTGAGGCCTTCATTTCTTCGTTCTTTTCAGCCTTTTCATTCCTTTTTGCGACATAGTGTCCATGCTTTCCTTCACACTTTAAATACCTAAAGCTTAAGTGCTTTAATCAGATATTGAGATAAAATAAGCATTTGAGGACACATTATCCATTAAAATATAGCCCTAAATGAGTCCAATTTGTGGACTCAGCAACATCCCCAACTTAAAGTTTTGCTTGTCCTCAAGAAAACTCAAGTTCAGTCGTTCAAAAAGGGTGTCTCGAATAGTGCTACACAAGACTCAATCATGAATGCACACAACAAGACTCAATTTACTTATGCAAAGATCAAATGTGCACTCAAAGATTCAAGTTGTGACTCGCCAATATAAAAGAATCTCATGCTCACAATACTTGCTTCAAATACCAGTTCTGGCTCAACTATAGTGTTCAAATGCCCTCACAGAAAGAATGATTTCATATTCACACAATGGTTCATAGTTTAAAGCTTCGGAATCAGATGCAACGCTCACACTCACAAAGATGAACACAATGCATGCTTTCACCATAAGTTTGCCCGTAATTTCCAATCAACATTTGTTTCAGCTCAATCAAAATCAAAAATGTCTTTTCAACTCTTGTAATGGGGCTGAATGCAAAGGTATGGTCATTTAGGCTCAGTGACTTTCATCCTCATGAAATGTGATGCTCACAACACTTCCTTTCCTTTTCCTTCATCATTTTCTTTAGTGCTCACAAGTCATCCTATTATTCGCTTTCCCTGGATTGTTTGGGAACCCCATTTCGTTTTTAACTTTATTCCACAACTTTTCTTTTTCTTTTCTGTCTTCTTTTTTTATATGGAGGGGTTCCATTTTCCTCAAAAACCATGGATAGGAGGGACTTTCTTGCACTTCTTGATTTGCCTTCGCTTTTCACCACACCCCCAACTTATGATTTTGGCCTAAGTTGGCTACTCAAACTAACCACAACTTCATGAGGATTATGGGTGATGGATTAAGAAAGGTCTAGTTCATCAAGTTTCTTCCAAAGAAAGGTAAGGCTCAAGGGGTGTTCAAGAGAGAATCACACATTCACAAGGTAGGTCACAAAAGAGGTATATGTCAAATTGGTTCACACTCTTCGAATTTGCCTAAGATCATATCAAGAGATAGCATCACTTAGTTGACCGGATCAACGGGGAAAATTCTAGGATCTATCATGCATAGTTCACAGGTTAGCTCATCACACTAGGCATTGACCCTATAAGTTAAACAAGACTCCACATTTTCGCTAGTGTGTAATGATCATCACAAAAGACTCAATTTGATAAATGGCTAATCACAATGAGATGCAGAGAGTTCACATATTGCCTATGCAACTTCGTTGTGCCTTGTCGTAGCCACACATTCATGTTCGTTCGATTGAGAGCACTATTCAAGTCATCGGTATTGATAGGAACCGAGACTTAAGTTTTGCAAAAGAATAACCACATTCAACACACGAGAGGTGGAGAAAATTTTTCGGATGGGTCAAAATCATTTTTGCAATTTAAAATAAAAGGACCCATGAGCTCAAACATACACAGAAAAGCAGTATTTAACACAAAATAGCTCAAACCCAAATACATAATCGAAAACACGAGTCACAAATAGCACACAAAAGGTTGTCCTCACCCCACCACAAATAAAAGCAATTTGTCCTCAAATGCAATTAACAAAATATCCAGAATGTAAATTAAAGGAAGACAGAGCGGAGGTAAAGAAGGGATCATGTCTAAGGAGTCGCTCCATCTGTCTGGACTTCAGTGCCCGGAGTATTGTCATTTGCCTCTGGTCCTCTTTTTCCTTTAGCTCTGCCTTAGCCTCTATACCGATATTATCCTCGATCATATTGTCAACCTCATGAGCTGCTACAAAGTCGTGCATCACATTGCAGAACCCTCGAGCCCACGAAGGGACATTTGGGTCGATGTGCATCCTCCTCCTGGAACTGGTTGTCTTGTTGTTGCTCCTTTCAGTTCTTCTGAACAGTTGTGCTCTTATGTGTCAGAGTGGCATATTTCTTCCTGCAAATTTTGGTCTGGCCATGTCTGCAAAGTCTTGAAATAATGTTAGAACATATTTGACAACCAAAACAAAGACTTTTAGCTGCAGAAACACTAGATAGTCCATTCACTATGCCACCAAATACATTCGGCGAGCCACAGCTAATCCACCGAAGGTCACAATGCAGAAGGAGTTAGGAGTGCAGACAAAGAGCGAATAACAAGACTTTTGGTGAGTCACCGAGTGCTCTTGGCGACCTCATACTTCTCACCAAAAGTTACAGGTGCCACAACAAATAAAGCATGATAACAAGGGCGAGATAGGGTAAAAAATAGGTGAACCGCGGAAAAGTTCGGAGAGCTCGTCACAGTTTGCCGAATGACCCAATGTGCCTACTTTTGACCCAACTTCTCAAAATTAGCCCCGATACCCCCGAAAACAAAATTGAAGCATGCACCAGCACCGCCAAGGTAGGACCCATAACACCCAACACAACCCCTCAAATTTTAATCAAGTTTAACGCATGTAATTACGGGAATTCGACAGTCACAACTACCCGAGCATGGATATCAAATTAAATTATGAATGTAAAAAATATAATCCTATCAGGGAGGAGTAGAACATTTCAACATAATTATGCTATTGCAAATGAGTACAATTTTGAGAAGATAGCTATGGGGTTCGGGACACTAACCTTTTGTGCTGATCAAATGGATATTGAGATGCTCGGAAGCACTGTAATCCGACTCTAAGCATAAATCAATCAACTAAAATGCTCTAAAAGTGGAAAAACTATAGACACTAGGGTGCATGTATGATTTTGGACAGATAAAAGTGAAAGAAAGTGAATGAAGTTGAAACTTTTAAACCTTTAGCTTGTAAAAACCATCCAGTTTTCGCCCACTCGGTGACATTAGTCAAGCTCGCCTACTCACTCAGTGAAACACCGACTATTTAGTTTCTTCACCAAAATTTACAGAACCTTTGGTTTACAGGGGGTCCAAACGGCGATTTCTATTGTGATCGCCAACATGGTCGACTATTCGCCAATAATTTCCAACACTCTCCGAGTTTTACAGACTCCAATGTTGACGATGTCTTGAGCTAAATGGCGAATAAGGTTGGATTCGCCGACCCCTTCGGTGACTCGCCGACTGGATCTATTACTTGCCATTCTTCACTTTTTCAAACACTTCTCATACTTTAACCTGTACAAACAACACACCATTATTATATCAAAGCAAAAGAAAGAAATAAACAGTTTTGGGTTGCCTCCCAAACAACGCGTTAGATAACGTCGTGGCACAATGCAGCAGCGCCTTCAACTGTCTTCCAAATACACCACTTCAACCAAAGGAATCTCTTGACAATCCCCAAAATATAATTTCAGACGTTGACCGTTCACTTTAAATGGAGGTCATTCCTGATCTTCAACTTCTATGGCACCATTGGTGAACACTCACGTTACTCTAAAAGGTCCAGACCATTTGGATTTGAGCTTTCCATGAAAGAGTCTATGTCTAGCGTTGTATAACAAAACCCAATCTCCTACCTTGAACTCCCGCTTGAGTATCCTAGCATCATGCCATTTCTTCATCTTCTCTTTGTAGATGGCTGAACTTTCATACGATCTTAGTCTAAATTCATCTTGTTCATTCAACTGCTCTACCCTCTCTCTTGAAGTTTTTGACCATTCCAAATTTAAAGCTTTCAATGCCCACAATGCCTTGTGTTCTAGCTCGACGGGAAAATGACAAGCCTTTCCATAAACCAACTGATATGGAGACATACCGATAGGTATTTTGTAAGCGGTCCGATATGCCCATAGTGCATCATCGAATTTCCTAGACCGGTCAGTTCTGTTGGCATTTACTGTCTTTGCCAGGATGCTTTTGATTTCCCAATTTGATACTTCGACTTGGCTACTTATTTGGGGATGATATGGGGCTGCTACCTTGTGTTTCACCCCATATTTGCTCGAAAACCACCTATTGCAAAAGTAGGACCCCTATTGCTAATGATTGCCCTAGGAGTGCCAAATCTTCCGATGACGTAGCGTTTCAGAAATTGGACAACACTTTTTACTTCGTTGTTTTGAAGTACGATGGCTTCCACCCATTTGGAGACAAAATCTACAGCCACCAAGATATATTTATTTCCAAATAAGCTCACAAATGGGCCCATGAAACCAATCCCTCATACATCGAATTGCTCAACTTCCAAACTAGGAGTGAGAGGCAACTCGTGCCCTCTAGACACTCCGCCTTGTTGCTGACATTGAGAGCATTTCTTTCCAAATTCATGTACATCCTTGTATAGGGATGCCCAGTAATAACCACTTTGGAGGAATTTAGCGGCAATGCGAATACCACTATGGTGACCTCCTACTGGAGATGCATGGCAAGCATGGAGAATTTCTACCGCTTTTTCTTCCGGAACACACCTCCTAATAACATGGTCAGCACATTCTTGAAACAAGTATGGTTCATCCCAAAAGTACTTCTTAACGTCGAACATGAATCTCTTTTGTTGGTAAAAGGTCAGCTCATCCGGTATCAATCCACTCACAATTTAATTTGCAAAATCTGTATACCATGGTGTAGGTTTGAGAGATATAGCAAATACATGTTCGTCGGGGAAGGAGTCGTCTTTATCGACCTCACGCTCAACATCTTCCCTTCCTTCCAACCTCGATAAGTGGTTGGCCACTTGATTTTCGCAACCTTTTTTATCTTTTACCTCAAAATCAAACTTTTGTAATAGTAGCACCCACCTTATCAATCTTGGTTTTGCATCTTTCTTCGCCATCAAGTAGCGGAGTGCAGCATGATCAGTGTGTACTATTACTTTGGTGCCTAGCAAGTATGCCCGAAACTTTTAAAATACATAGACCACTGCGAGAAACTCTTGTTCAGTGACTGTATAATTTCGCTGGGCACTATTCAGAGCTTTACTTGCGTAATAAATTGGATGAAATAGTTTGTTGCGCTTTTGCCCCAACACTACTCCCAATGCCATACAACTAGCATCACACATTACTTTGAAAGATTCAGACCAATCAGGACTGACGATAATTGGGCTGGATACTAATTTTTCTTTCAAACACTTAAATGCGGCCATACAAGAATCATCAAAATAGAACTTCACTTCCTTCTCTAGGAGTTTGCAAAGTGGATGTGCAATCTTAGAGAAGTCTTTAATATACCTTCGGTAGAAACCTGCATGCCCCAAGAAGCTACGAATACCCCTTACTGAAATCAGCGGGGATAGTTTCTCAATTACCTCAATTTTTGCCTTATCAACTTCTAGCCCTTGTTGCAACTCCTTGTGTCCTAGAACAATACTTTTCTTCACCATGAAATGACATTTCTCCTAATTTAAGACCAAGTTCGTTTCCACGCATCTTTAAAGCACTTGCCCTAAGTGCATTAAGCACTCTTCAAACGTATCCGCTACGACTGAAAAGTCATCCATAAATACTTCCATAGAATCTTCGACCATATCTGCGAAGATAGACAACATGCAACGTTGAAATGTGGTTGGGGCATTACATAGTCCGAATGGAATTCTTTTGAATGCAAATGTTCCATAAGGGCAAGTGAAAGTGGTTTTTTCTTGGTCTTCCGGCGCAATAGATATTTGATTGTAACCGGAGTACCCATCCAAAACTCAATACCACCCTCTTTCTGATAATCGGTCAATCATCTGGTCCATAAAAGGCATTGGAAAATGACCTTTCTCGATCCATGACTTAAGCTTTCGTAGTCCATGCATACTCTCCACCCAGTCACTGGTTTTGTCGGCACAAGTTCTCCTTTTGCATTAGTATGGTTATACCTCTTTTTTTCGGTACACATTGCACCGGACTTACCCACTTACTATCTGCAATAGGGTAGATCACTCCCGCATCTAGACACTTGATGATCTTCTTTTTCACCACCTCTTGCATTGGAGGGTTCAATCTCCGTTGATGCTCCACACTAGGTTTAAATTCATTGTCGAGCCGAATCCTATGAGTACAGATGCCAGGAGAAATTCCTATTATATCAGCTATTGTCCATCCAATAGCTTTTATATGCTTCTGCAGTACTTCAGTGAGTAATTTCGCTTGCCTTTCAAGCAAATCGGTTGCGATAATCACTATTAAAGTATTATTGGCTCCTAAGAAGGCATATTTGAGATAAGAGGGTAGGGCTTTTAACTCTAGATTTGGTGGTTCTTCTGTTGATGGCTTTGTAGAAGGACTTTCTCTATTTTTCAAGTCGATATCCAACTTGATTGGATTCCTTGAATATACTCCTAACCCTGATAAGGCAGCTACCACTTCATAGTAACCTTGAACTTCAGATTCATCATAATTGGAAAGTACAGATTCAAGGGGTTCATTCTTGCGCATTATATGGCTCACACTTGCCACTGCCTCATCTATAACATCCTCAGTAGACACCACATGGATATTACTTGGTTGCTTCATAGATTTACAGTTATTAAAGGTAACCTCATCATTGTTCACACGAAACATCAATTTCCCACTCTTGACATCCACCAATGCTCTCCCAGTAGCTAAGAATGGCCTTCCCAAGATAATGGGGATTTCAAGATCGATCTCGCAATCTAGAATCACAAAATTAGTTGGAAAGATGAACCGATCTAATTTTACCAATATGTCATAGAGTATCCCCACAAGGTGTTTGATTGATCGATCAGCCGTAAGGAGTCTCATTGTGGTTGCCTTTGGTTCACCCAAACCAAGTTGCTTGTATATTGCATAGGGCATCAAGTTAATTCTTGCTCCTAAATCGCACAAAGCTTTAGCGAATTGGAGCATGCCAATTGTGCAAGGAATGGTGAATGCCCCAGGATCTTCTCTCTTAGTGATTGACTCATTTGTCATAATTGCACTACAACTATGGGGCACCTCAATCGTTTCATACTCCAAGCTCCTTTTCTTTGTAACCAGCTCTTTCATGAATTTGGCGTATCCCGGCATTTCCATCAATACTTCCACCAGAGGAAGGTTAATTGATAAGTTCTTGAGTACTGACAAAAAAAATTTGAACTTCTCATCTTCATTCTTCTTTTTCAAACGTTGAGGAAATGGTAGAGGTATTTTGGGTAAATGGTGCGTGACTTTTGGAACATGAACATGTTGCTCTGCATCCTCTTATGGTTCTTGGGCAAGGTTTTGTGGAATAGGCAATTCTCGTTCCTCTATACCCTGTCTCTCTTCCTGCATTTGAGGGTCCTCATCCTCCATCACATTCCCTTTTGCCATCTTTCCACTATGGGTAACTACATCCAGCCCTCTTTCATTATCTTTCATCAGTGTCTTGGATGTTAATTGAGCTGATAATAGAATCAATTCACCTTCTAGTGTTTTGAGGGCATCAGTATGAGAATTCACTTTACTGTTCAATGATGAAAAGTCATCTCTCATCCCTTTTAGCAAATCATCAGAGCCCTTAAGTTTATCAAGTATGTGTGACAGTAGATCATTTACCCGAGGACTACTTGCACTCCCTTTTGATTTTGGGCTTTCACTCAATTGAGTGTGGTCTTCCTTATGGTCATCTTGCTCAGCCTAATTGTGGCAATATCTCCTTGGTTCTTCACTCCTATAATAGTTCCAAACCTTGATTTCCGCCCCGCTATTAATAACATAGGTGGAAACCCTCCTCACATCTTATGGAGTTCCAACCTTGATTCTCCCCCGTTCTTTAGTAACCGGATGAAGAACCCCCCTCAACTCTTTTGTAGTTCCAACCTTGATTCCCCCTGGTCTAAAGTAACCAGAAGAAGAACCATCCTCAACTCTAAATACTCCATACGTCCCCTTCATATGCTCTTGTATCACTTCCATTTGAGACAACATCGTTTTGATGTTTTCGTCCCTCTTCCTTTCTTTATCGAGTTGTTCTTGCGTTAATCTGAAGCACAGTGGGGAAACTTGGTCATCTTTTGTGTACCATGCTTGATTTACTCTAGTCATGCCATCTAGGAAGAATGAGGCTACTTCAAATGATTGTAACATTATTCCTCCTTGCACCAGCTGACCAACTATCCCTTTATTAATCAAATCCAAACTACGGTAAAAGTATTGGAGCAATAACTCACCCGGCAGTCCATGCATTGGACATTTTCGCAAAAGTCTCTTAAAACTTGTCCATGATCTGTGAATTGGTTCGCCCTTCTTTTGATTAAAATTTTGAATGTCATCTCTCAGTTTCATCATCTTTGATGGAGGGAAGAATCTCTCATGAAAAGTCGTAACTAGCTCCTCCCATGAATTGATGCAGTTCTTAAGAAGCTCGACCAACCACTTAGTGGCTCCCCCGGTTAATGATAATGGAAATAAGCGAAGTCGTATGAACTCCTGTGACAGATTCTTAAATGACAGAGGGGTTAATACTTCTATCAAGCTTCGCATATGTTTATATGAATCTTCATGCTCTAATCCTCCATATAAACCTCTTGAATGTATGAGATGGAGTGTTGTGCAAGTAACTTCAAATGTTGCACTTCCATCTACTTGTGGCATGCAAATTACACCCATCTCACCCACTTGGGCAGGGTTGTACACACTATTAATATCATCAATATTGTCTCAATGAAAAGCATAGCCCGCTAGATGGCCTACTTGGCAACTATTTTCACCGTTCACACTCATATGTCTGTTGAAACACACAAACACTCAAAACAAAACTGAAAATTAAGTTAGAAGACTATAACTAAGAAGAATAAAAATTCTACTAATCTAAGAATTCTCAAATAACACCAATCCCCGACAGTGGTGCCCTTTTGATGTTTGCTTAATCAAGGAAACAACTTTTGCTGCAAGTGTCTACGATCTTGCAATAGTATAATAACCCAACCAATGGTTTAGATCGTTCCTAAGGGAGTGGTTTTGAGAATTAATAGAGAAATAAAATTTAGTTCTAACTAATCGTAGCTCAAGACATTAATGATTAAAAATATTGTAAATCAAAGAAGGACACAAGAGTGTCTATTAACAATGGGGTTTTATTACAAGTAAGTAAAAACAGCAAAATAAATAAGGTTTTCTAAGTAATGAGAGGGTACCCTTGGGATGTGACGAAAATACGGGTTAAGCTAGATTATTGTGTACATGCTTTCGATAGAAGAGTCATAGAATAATTGTGACAAGTCTAGACTTTAAGGGGGATAAGCTCTCTCTCGAGCAACTTACTCCGTTTCAAATGCATTCCTCTCGGACACCCACTTGCCACATGAAGATCAGCCTACGCCTTAACCCACTCACTCTGTCAAGCTGAGGTGTGGTCATGGGACTAGGGTTCATTCTCTCAAGTTGTACCTCATGTCGACCCACTCACACTGCCATCAATCTAGTGGTCTTAGTTTTACGACCTCTCTCTCGAGCAAGCGGAAAACACATAAATAAACTTGCATTTTCAACTACAAATTCATTAAATTCATCCACAACCACTAAATGAAATCATATTTCAACTATGAATAGACTATCAGCAAGCAAGACCCAATAATTATCTTAACCCATATTCTCTAAATCACACCCCAAGAATTAGGGTTTTTTAGCCACACATCAAGAGATATAAATTTATACCTAAATAAGCATACATTCAAATGGGTATGAAGATTTAAGTCTTGTTATAGGCCAAGAACGTTGCGCTCTTCTGTGATGAGTCTGGCCATCTTCTTTTTTTCATTCAACATCTTGGCATCCATATAGATTTGCCATTGGCCCTCTACGCACCATATATTGACCTCCTCAGCAATCGGAGCAGGGTCGTTGTTTTTAGGCACTTGAACCTTCCCCAAACTAGTAGCCTCATGAGACGAGGCAGCTTGGCCATGTGAACTCGTGCCTATTGCGGACCTTGAATAAGACCCTGCTGCAGAGGCGGACTCAGAATCGGAAGCAGACCCAACCGGTGACCCAATTAGTGTATCCTCCTCATCAGACTGGGAGGCAGTGACTAAGTCAGGGAACACCTTCTTGGCTTGATTTCGAGTAGCCCGGGCTGATGTGGTTGATGTCCTTCCAATTGGGGGGACATATTCGGGGTCTTTGGTAGCATCAGTATCCTCGATTAGCCTACGGGTAGTAGCCGTTGATTTTGATCTACCCTTGACGGCTATAGCTTTCTTCGGGGCCATTGTACCTATGGAGGTAGAATTAGTACCAATTTGAAATAACGACACACTCAAAAAAAATTTAGAACAAATAATGAGCAAAATTAAAAAATTACAGACAGCGGCTTCAGTTGCCCCCTACGGTGGGTTCCTACGATCCGTGGATCTCCTCAGTAGGTCAGAGGTCCCAAAAAGTTGGGCTCTGATGGGAACCAGGGATGTGCAGAACAGTTCGTATATTGACCTACGGACCGTAGTCCACCTCTGTAGTTCCACACTTAGTGGAATTGCTTTGTGCCATAAACCACAGACCTGATCTACGGTCCGTAGACTGATCTACGGTCTGTAGACGTGGTCTCATGGATCCATTCTGTGCCAGGTATCAGATACTCTTCAGTTCAGAACCAAATTTTATCAATTAAAACCATTGACCTTAGCCTAATCATGCATTTCAACATAATTTATACTTGTTCGTCATCCCAAGGATTCCAATTATTCAATTGTTACATGCATTGCATACGAAACTAGGAACCCTAAGTCGAAACTTGCATTTAGACACTTTTTTTTTAATTTAACATATTACAAAGACAACACAATCACAATCTATCGTCCCAAGGGTGTTTCTAACATTATTTTAGGATACAATTTTATACAACAACCCAAGGTCAAGAACCACTTCCTGACTTTCGATAACAACAATGAATCGGAATTCAAAGTGAAGGGAAAGTTGATTACCTTACAAGCAAAGGAAATGGGTGATTGTGTGATGATACTTGACTTCCCACAACTTCTAACTCGCCTTTCGCACCGAACCCGATACCGGAACATCTGGAAAATTAGGAATGAAGGGATTTGGGAGAGAGAAGAGTGAATTGGGAATATGGAGGGATTTTAGGATTTTGAGGGGTTTAGAAACGGTTAGGAGGAAAATATGGGAAGTGGGAATTATTTGAAAAAGGGGGGTTTTATTTAAAAGAGGTCAGGGTCGGGCAAGCCGACTTAGGGTTCGGACCCACGAGACCCCGTCTATGGTCTGTGGGTTGACCTACGGTCCGTAGATGGGGTCTGTAGTTCACTTTTACACTTAGGAAAATTTAGCGTTTTTACTTGGGATCTACGGACGCCATTCACAGTCCGTGGAATGAACCACGGACCGTCTATGGGGTCCGTAGACCTCTACAACAGACCTTTTCTGCAGATATTTGTTTTTCTTCCCTGCACATGTAGCAACCATTAGGCCTTTCTTTTTAAATCTGGACACTCTTTAGACATGGACCCTATGCTATATCTAGCCAACACTAAAACAGAAATAAAGCACCTTTCTAAAGGAATACAGAAAAGCAAATAAACAAACAAAACTACTAAACCAAAAAGAAGAACCTATGGTTGAATAGATTGTACATCTTGGGTTGCCTTCCAAGCAGCGCTTGATTTAACATCGAGGCATGACACAGGCCTCTTGATTACTCAAACTTCATCAAGATAGTAGGCCTCAACAACTTCTTGCACACTTTCTGCGTTTCCCAGATAGATCTTGATCCTTTGCCCATTTACCTTAAACCTTGTTCCCTTACTGTTCTCCAGCTTGACCGCTCCATATGGGAGCACTTGTGTGACTAAGAATGGCCCGGTCCACTTGGACTTGAGCTTGCCTGGAAACAAGCGCAACCTACAGTTGAATAGAAGCACAAGATCAACCACAACAAATTCTCGCTTTTCAATCTTTTGATCATGATACTTCTTCATCTTTTCCTTGTACAAGGCTGAACTTTCCTAAGCTTTCAGGAAAAACTCATCAAGCACATTCAAGTAATTCGTTCTCTGATTTGATACGACGCCCCAATCTAAATTTAGTTTCTTTAGCGCCCACATAGCCTTATGCTCTAACTCTACCAGCAAATGGCAAGACTTCCCATATACAAGTTGGTAGGGGTACATACGTATGGGAGTCTTGAATGCGGTGCGATAGGCCCATAGAGCATCATCAAGCTTCCTTAACCAATCCATTCTATTAGCATTCACAGTATTTGCCAAAATCTTCTTGATCTTTCTGTTCGACACTTCAACTTGCCCACTAGACTGTGGATGGTAAGGAGTGGTTACATTGTGGCGGACGCCATATTTATCAAGTAAAGCCTTGAACAACTTATTGCAAAAGTGAGAACCTACATAGCTGATAATCGCCCTAGGTATACCAAATATGGAGAAGATATTCTTATTCAAGAATGGGGTGACACTTTTACCTTCATTGTTAGGAAGCGCAATTGCTTCCACCAACTTCGACACATAATCAACCACAACAAGAATATACTTCACCCCATGTGAACTAACAAATGGACCCATAAAATCAATACCCCATATATCGAACAACTCTATTTCCAATATAGGATTAATAGGAAGCTCTTGCCTCTTTGAAATTCCTCCTTCCCTTTGGCAACAGTCACATGACTTGGCAAAATTATGAGAATCTTGGTGGATGGTAGGCCAGTAATACCCACACTATATGATTTTATGTGCAGTCTGAATACCACTACGATCCCCACTAACAGGCGATTCATGGCACGCCTCTAGTATACTCAACATCTCGACCTCGGGCACACAGCGACAAATAATCCCATCAGCACAACTACGATACAAATAAGGGTCATCCCAAAAGAACTTATTCACATCATACATAAACTTTTTTCTTTGGTGAAAGGACAAATTTGATGGCACCAGATCACTTGCCAAATAGTTAGCAAAGTCTGCGAACCAAGGAATCAGATCATAAGAAGCGGCCAAAACCTGTTCATTTGGAAAAGCATCATTAATTTCAGTCCTATCACCAAGCTTGAGTATAGCTTCTTCCTCTTATCTGGACAAGTGATCGACAACCTAATTTTCTATACCCTTTCTATCTTTCACCACAAAATCGAACTTTTACAGCAACAACACCCATCTAATCAACCTCGGTTTAGCATTCTTTTTAGCCGTCAAGTACCTCATGCAGAATGGTCAGTATGCACAATGACCTTAGTACCAAGAAAGTAGGATCAAAATTTCTCAAATGTGAAAACCACCGCAAGAAGCTCTTGTTCAGTCACTGTATAGTTCTTTTGAGCCACATTTAGAGCTTTGGTAGCATAGTAAATAGGATGAAGAATCTTCTCTCGCCTCTATCCCAATACTACACCAAGCACTACTCCACTCGCATCACACATTACCTCAAACGGTTGTCCCCAATCCGGTGAAATAATGATAGGTGCAGTAACTAACTTCTCCTTCAACTCTCCAAATGCTCTCAGACAAGCATCATAAAAATCAAACTTATACTCCTTTCTTTCTGAGCAGTTTGCACAATGGATGTGGGAGAAATAGGGATGAACCTCCTATAGAAACTTGCATGCCCAAGAAAACTTCTAACACAATTAACAGAGAAAGGTGGTGGAAGCTTTTCTATTACCTCAACTCTTTCTCTATCAACCTCAATACCCTTTTCAGAGATTTGATGACCTAGAACTATCCCTTCTTTCACCATGAAGTGGCACTTCTACCAATTGAGCAAAAGATTGCACTCTTCACACCATTTAAGCACCTCGGCCAAATGGTCTAGAAAACGATCAAAAGAGTCACCTACCACAGATAAATCATCCATAAATACCTCAATAGTGTCCTGCACCGTATTATAAAATATTGACATCATACAGTTTTGGAAGGTCGCTGGAGCATTACACAACCCAAATGGGATCCGTTTGAATGCGAAAGTCTCATAATGGCAAGTGAAGGTGGTTTTCTCTTGGTCTTTTGGAGCTATAGAAGTCTGATTGTAGCTTGAATAACCATCAAGGAAACAATACCAACCCTTACCTGCAAGTCGGTCCAACATTTGATCCATGAATGGCATAGGAAAATGGTCTTTTTCTATACAAGCATTTAATTTCTAGTAGTCCATGGAGACTCTCCATCCAGTCACAAGCCGCATCGGAACAAGCTTGTTTTCTCATTAGGTACCACAGTAATCCCACCTTTCTTGGGCACACACTGAACAAGACACACCAAACTACTATCTACAATGGGATAAATAACTCCAGCATCCAACCACTTGATGATTTCCTTCTTAACTACCTCTTGCATAGGCGGATTTAGTCCTCTCTGGTGCTCAATACTAGGTTTTTGATCCGGCATAAGTTGAATTTTATGAGAACAAATAGCAGGAGGAATCCCAATAATGTCTGCAATAGTCCACCTAATAGCTCGCTTGAACCTCTTCAACATGGAAACCAATGCCTCAACTTGTGCCATATTCAAATCTGCCGCAATGATGACCGGTAAAGTCCCATCTTTCCCCAAGAATACATACCTCAAATGTGATGGTAGAGCCATAAGCTCCAATTTCTGAGCCTCTTCAACAGATGGTCTAACAAGTGGAGAGTCAGGATTCTTTAAGTCTAACTCTAATCTCTTTAGTTTAGAGCGGAATTCAAACCTATCAAGTGCGGCGACCAATTTATCATAGTCTTCAATACCATCACCCTCAAAGTTCATCATTACCACTGCTAGTGCATCAACACCCAACCTCTCTTCAATAGGCACCTTAGAACCACTATGTACAATATGTGTTACCATAGATACTGATTTGAGCTCACTACTCTACTTAATGGACCTAGAGATATTGAAAGTTGCCTCTTCATTGTTCAATCGGAACTTCATCTGCCCTTTCTCCATATCAACCAAGGCTCGCCCACTGGTTAGGAATGGTCTCCCAAGGATAATCAGAACCTCAAAGTCAACATCACACTCAAGTATCACAAAATCCACCGAAAAGATAAAAGACTCCATTTTCACTAGTACATCTTGGACCACCCCAATGGGTTTCTTCATAGTTCTATCGGCCATAAGCAGTCTCATCACAGTCTGTTTTGGATCCCCTAAACCCAACTTCTTGTAAATAGCCGATGGCATCAGATTTATACTAGCACCCAAATCGCACAATGCCTTTGCAAATTGTAGCAACCCAATGGTACAAGGAATAGTGAAAGCCCCAGGATCTTCCTTGTTCTTCACAAGGGACCTTGTAGCAATAACACTACAATGTTGCAACTTATCATCATCTTCAAAACTCACGGCCCACTTTTTAGTTACCAAGTCCTTAATAAACTTCACATACACATGCATGTGCTCCAAAGCTTCTATCAATGGCACATTGATGGAAAGTTGCTTTAATATACTAATAAATCTGCTGTATTTGCCTTCTTCAGTCTTCTTCACTAACCTCTGTGGGAAAGGAGGTGGAGGTTTAGGCATGGGGACAACTTTCTGAGTTATCTCCAATTCCTTCTCTGTTGCATTCTCGGGCTTTTCATTTACCTCAATCACATGATCATCTTTACTAACCTCTACTTCAACCCCAGATGGCATAGGTGGATCAATGGTCTGCTTACCCCCTCGAGTAGTTATTGCCATACAATGCCCATCATTCTTTAGATTTTGGATGGTGTTGCTAGGAAGTGTGCCAGGTTGACGTGGGTTTACTGTGGTGGATAACTGAGTCATCTGCTGCTCAAGATGCTTGATTGACACTGCATGGTCATCATCTTTTTGACCAATACTAGACAAGTCATTTCGCATCTCCTTCACATTCTCATCAGTCGAATCAAACCTCTTCATCATCTCCTACATCATATCCTCAATATGTGACATATTACCTCCAGTTTCCCTATTACTAGACTCCTAATTTTGAGGAGGAACATAAGGCCCAACCTGATCATTTTTGTTGCCATAATTGTTCCGGTTGTACTTGTTGTCACGATTGAAGTTCCCATCCCGGACATATTGACCTTCTCGTTTATAGTTGCCATAGTTTCGACCTTGGTTTTCTTGCTCTTGGTGCCAATTATCCAAGTTGGAACCTTGGGCATTGGCTCGAAAACCCCATGTCTGATCATTCACCAAATAAGCATCCTCCTCGTAGTAATATTCCTCCTCCGGTGGTGTTAGAGTCTTGGTCAAGTAATTGACCGCATTTACCTTTTCTGCACATCCACTCACATGCTTCAGGACCAACCCCAGTTTTGTCCTCATCTGAGCCATTTCCTCACGAATATTATCAGCAGATTGGTTAGGTGCAACTTGGACTGCAAACGTGTTTTTCCTAGTATCTGACTTTCTAATGCTCCAAGCCTTATTGTTTCAGAAAATTTTCTCCAGTTTCTCAGCGATCTGCTAAAAAGTGCACCCACCATATGAACCTCTAGCGATGGTATCGAGCACGGGCTTACTTTTGTCATCCAAACCTCGGTAGAAGTATTCCTTCAGTGATTCATCATCAATGCGGTGATTCGAGACACCTCTTATGAAAGCAGTGAACCTGTCCTAGGACTACTCACAAACTCTCCAGGTAGTGCTACGAAATTGTTGAGTTTATCTTTGTGGTTCAGCTTCTTTGACACTGGAAAGAATCTTGCCCGAAACATGTATAGATTGAGTTTTAAGGGAGCTTAGTAAACAACACAGCAGCATCGCCGGTCAATGATAGAGGGAATACTCTCAATCCAATGGCATCCATGTCCAAGTCCGGTCGACCCACACAACTTTTGCAAACACTTATTAGCCTAGCTACGTGCGCATGTGGATCCTCTGATGCCAAACAAGAGAACAAACCCCTCACTGTAGGCATCTGCATCAAACTGCTAGTCACCACGAATGTATGCCTCGGAGGTAGAGGGGGTAGAGCAAGAGGTTCGTCAGATTCAGTAGCATTAAAGTTGACCCTATAGTTATCACGCAGTCTTGGTCCAGGTGGATCATGTACCCTCACTATATCTCTGAGTATATTTTTGCCTTGAACCAGATTATTCTCATCACCAACCCTCGGAGGCTGCAACCTAAGTTGATCACCTAAATTTCCTCTGATAGGATTGGCTAGAACTCCTTGGTTATTCATTTTTTGCAAAGTTTTGTTCAACTCTGGATTGTAATGAGTAAGTGGTTCACCTTGGCTCCGTGTACTTGGCATACACTAGAGTAGGAACCTGAGAGAAACAAAAAGAAAAAGAAAAAAAAAGTAAAATTATGAAATATTTGACTAAAGTTCAATAATGTAGTTGAACTTAATCTAAAAGCCCTATTCCTCGGCAGCGGCACCAAAATTTGATATGCTCAAATTACACCTCCCTAAAGAATTATAAGCGATCGCTATCAAGTAAAGAACCCAACTTGGAGGTTGGGCCCGATTCCATGAGGAATATGGTTTAGACTTAACTTTAACCCATGATTATATTTGTTTAGTCAACGTACTTCTGAAACAACTAATTAAAAGGGGGAAATATTTGTGAAACAAAATATGGAAATTGTAGTTAAGTAACAAGTGACTAGGATTCAACTTTATTGTTATCAATGAGAGAAAGTGACTAGGGTGTACGTGTTCCACATAAGCTCATAATGCGGTAATCCTGGTAATAGTAACCCTTTCCTATTGTATTACATGCAAAGTGATAAGTTAGGTAGCTCTAATTCCTTGGTCCAGCAACTAGAGAATTTCACCCCGCACCTTGGTCAAGCTACGTATGTATAACTTACTAACCTTTACTGTTACCTCATATTAGACAACACATCAATGTATGGCTTAGTTTTCACCCTCGCACCAATCAAAATTAGATTATTAGATTGTATCAGAATAAATCTATGTTGATAATTCTTTTCTTATTAACTACCTCTTTGGTCCGGCAAGTAGCAACAAGGCGAGTTCTAACGTTTGCATCCGCTAAAATGACTTCTAAATGAAAGAATTATCAATGCATGCAATAACACTATTCAAGAGTTACTTAATTACTATTCATACTTTGTTAATCGCTCATGGTTCCCACAACCATAGTTGTGGATTTAGTTACCCATAGTAGCAAGAACACAATTCGTATTTTTAGATGAAGAAATCATGAACTTACATAATAAGTAGAAGAAATCCAGAATCTCAACTTGAATTTCAAAGTCAAAATCTTTAAAACGAACTTAGGAAATCAAAAATTGCTAAAATTGCAAGTTGATCTCCAAAGCCAAAAACTAGAATAAAAGTAATGAAGTCTAATCCCCAAAAATGAGGTTTACATGCCCTATATATAGAAAATCAAGTCCCAACTAAAAAGGAAACAAAATAAGGAAATAATTTTTCAGGACGCGATTTTAATCTACTACACTGACCTACGAACCGTGAATTGACCTACGGTCCGTAGGTCCCTTCCGTGGTTCAGGACTTAGGCAAATTTTCCAACTTCAAAAATCTTCATCTCTGACGCAATCGACGGTCAAGAATTCCATGATTTTCCTTCAGTCTTGCCTTCCTATCTACGTCTACCATCTACGGGGCGTGACTGGACCTACGGTCTGTAGGTCACGTCCGTAGATGCCCTTTTCTGCACATGGTTCAACTGTGTCTGTCCACTTCCACGTCCGAACTTATTTCCTACAAACATGATAAAAATACATTAATACCAATACAAAATGGCCCTAGACACACATAACTCTTAAGTAAAATGTATTAAAAATACTGTAAACTCATGTTATATCAGTAGTGTTTTCTCTAAAGATTTTGAGGTGTTATCTATATAGTGTTCATGTAGATGTGTTTACTAACCATAAATGCTTAAAGTATGTAATCAACCAAAAGGATTTGAATCTTTGCAAAAGAAGGTGTCTTTAGTTATTAAAGGATTTTGATATGAGTGTCCTCTATCATTCTGGAAATGTGAATATGGTGGAAGATGCTCTTAGTCGGCTATCTGTGGGTAGTGTTGCTCAAGTTAAGGATGTTAAAAAGAGCAAGTTTGTGATGTTCATAGGTTGGCCTGATTGGGTGTTAAGTTTGATGATTCTAGTGAGGGTGGTGTGATTATTCAGAATTTTTTGGAATCATCTCTTATATTAGATGTGAAGGATAAGCAAGATCTTGATCCTATTACTGTTGATTTGAAGAATTTGGTTTCTTAAAAATCCATTGAATCTTTCTCCCAAGAGGAAGATGGTGCCTTTTATATCAAGGTTGGTTATGTGTTCCCAATGTCAATGAGTTGAGAAATCTTGCTTTGATAGAAGCTCGCAGTTCTCGATATTTCATTCACCCAAAAGCCACCAAGATGTACCACGACTAGCAGGAAGCGTATTGGTGGAATGGGATGAAGAGGATATTGTGGAATCTGTGGCTAAATGTCTAAATTGTCAACAAGTGAAAGTTGAGCATCAGAAACCCAGTGGTTTGACTTAAGCCATTAGTAGTCCTACTTGGAAGTGGGAAGATTTGAATCTGGACTTCATTATGGGTTTAACTCGTATTCGTCGTTATTTTAACTCGATTTTGGTTATTATGGATCGAATGACAAAGTTGACTCACTTTCGTCATGTAAAGTTTTTGTTTTCAGCGGAGGAGCATGCCAAGCTTTATATTCGATAAATGGTGAGGTTGCATGTCCATTCTAATCCTGGTTCTCATTTTACATCTTAGTTTTGGAGGTTGTTTCAGAAAGGTCTTGGTACCTAAGTGAAGCTTAGTATAGATTTTCATCTTCAGAATGATGGACAAGCCGAGCGTACTATTTTGATTTTGGAAGATATGTTGAGAGCTTGTGTCATTGATTTCAAGGGTAATTAGGATGATCATTTGCCATTTATTGAGTTGGCTTATAATAATAACTATCATTTTAGTATTACGATGGCACCATTTGAAGCTCTCTATGGTAGGAGGTCTAGGTCTCCTATAGGTTGCTCTAAAGTCGATGAGGTCGCTTTCATCAGGCTCGAGTTGGTGCATGAGGCTATGGAAAAATCTCAAATTATTCGTGAGAGGTTGAAAATGGCACAAAGTCGATAAAAGTCTTAATTCAGTGTAAGAAGAAGAGAGCTTGAATTTGAGGTTGACGATAAGGTTTACTTGAAAATCTCACCCATGACTGTATAATGAGTTTTAGAAAGAAGGTCAAGCTTAGTCCCCGATATATGGGCTCATATCCAATTTTGAGGCTTATTGGCAATGTTCCTTATGAATTAGAGTTACTCTCACGACGCGGGCCTACACCCCGGACGTAACACAGCGTACAAGACTCCGAAAAGTCACATACAAGCCTCATAGCATATCATCACATAAGAACATAGGAAATAGTGCGGAATTTAAAACTTTTAATCCATACTATCAGAAACCTTTATTTACAACAGCAGAAGTCTAGACATAGTCTCACATGGCCATCAACTATAATCGAGGTCTCAAAATAGGGTCACAACCCTTACAATAAGAAATCTAAAGTCTAATACAATAAAAGGAATGAAACAAAAACAAAGAACTTTTCCTCGGATCCACGAGGACATACCACAAGCTTTGGAGAATAGTCTATCCAAGCATGAACTAGAAGAAATCACCTCAAACGCCGGAACCTACACTTTGCAGAAAATGTAGAAAAAACATGGGTTAGCATAAATATGTATTAAGTATCATAGCCATGCAAAAACCATGCTTAAAAAGGACATTTTGGTTGAAAACCATGCATATGTCAAGTTTAAGAAACATTAAGAACTTTCATATAAACAATACAATACATAAGTATATTCATCACGTAAGTCATTAGAACATAATAGAGCCATCATGAAAGTAACCCTAAGTTATACTTGTGTAATGTATTAATGACATTCCATAATACCATTCATACTAAGTACCACTTTAAGGCCACCATAGCATACTTACCATTCTTCATTCTCATCTCTACTCAATAATCATAGATAAGGAATGTTTACATTTAATAAGTCATGGCAAGGAAAGCAACTCATAATAACAATCCAAGTTAAACATTTTTCATTACCTTAAACCTGTAAGTCAACATTCTCATTTAGCATCATTATGAGCACATTCTTTTCATTATACATAAGGACATTAGAGAAACATACCATAGCCCTTTCAAAGCCTACTCGTGCAATGCATGGATGGCATCCCATACTACCACCCACACTTCATAGAACCTCTCAAGTAACCATAGCACATAACTCACATGATGGGAATAATCCCTAACCGACATAGACCATGTGAGCAAACCATGGAATCTGGTATCTATCCCACACCGTAAAGGGTTGGTCTACTTGCCTAAGTTAGAACCGGTAATTTAGCTTAGGTGGATCCACTACCTATAACCTATGTGGGAACATAGTTATGGGATAAGGAAGATGTTCATTGAAATGTGGCCTAAACATGGGGAGAGATTCCATCCTACCATATCCACTCAGTGCTAAGCGTATATTCCCATAGAGTAGTTCATTCACATTAACCTTATTACACATGAGAGGGTGCCATTGGCCTACCGACCCAAGGTACATTGATAAACACATGAAAGAGCGCCATAAGCCTACATTCAAGGTACATTATTTAACACATGAAAGGCTGCCATAAGCCTACCGATTCAAGGTACATTTTTAGGAAAGCTCATGAAAGAGTACCGTACGACTACCGATTCAAGGTTTATCATTATCATTCATGGAAAGGTGCCATATGCCTACTGATCGCAAGTTCGTTATTAGCATGCAGGCACCGATCCAAGACACATCATAGAATACTTCATTAAACATTATGAAAGGGATACCACCATTTGGTCTACCGATTCAATGTTCATTAAGTCAAGATACATTAGTTACACAAGAAAAGGATGACCTAAGCCTACCAATTAAAGATGCAATGTTACATTGAAGAAGCCTTTCACATTACATCATCATCATTCACAAGTGTATAATTGAGAATAACATTTTAATAATATCACAATTGCATCGTACACATGATCACATTACTTTAATGGGAATTACAAAGCATATACATAAGCATCATGATTATACAATATTCTTCATAATTTTCCCTTCAAGGCCATGAATCACAATTCATCAACACACCTATAATTTATACAATTTAGGCATCAATAATGA